GGGGGGGGGTGACACCCTGTGGCACCCCAATCCCCGTTTCGCTTAACAAGGGGAGCCGGGCACGGTGGTGGGGACGAGCATGAGAGCTGGGCCACAGAAGCGGAAAAACAATTGGCTTTTTTCATGTAGGGCAGGAGGGAGATGAGAGGCTTGCCCTAATCTTCACGCAAGGACCTTGGCGTCCAGACGGAAAACCCTTGGGATCGTGTCTCCGCAAAGCTTAACCCAACAGGAGGACATCTCAGTGACCTGCTCTCCTAATGAAAAAATTTTAAGGTGACGCTAATAGCCCTCAGTGTCAGAGTTTAGGATGGGATGAAGGTTTACTGAGCATAAACTCCAGAGTCTTTGGGAAAACCGGCTCTGAACCTTGGAGGTATTAAATGAGGGAGTTTGAAACTCTCCCCGATGTGAAGCCGGCCTGCTCCCGCACAGATACGGGAAAAGGCTTGGCAGAGCCCCGGCCCTCTCTCGGCACGCGGGTTCTGGCATCTCAGAAACGGATCTGGAGGAATTCGCTGTATCCGAACCCGTCACGCTCGGAATTGCCATCCCCCGAATCACAGGAGGGCAACAGCTGGTTCGATCGGCATCCAGGGAATATTCCCAGACCTTCCGAGGGGAAGCTGCACCCTCTACGTGATGGGGGGGGGGGGGGGAGCAAAAGGGACACAAAAGGGCACTAATCTGCTGGCTCAGCTCACATTCTCCTCATAGCCAGATAAAGTCGGAGGGGATTTCCACTCCTCCGTTAAATTTCCAGCTGGGAGACCAAAACAATGCCCAGGCCGGAGGCATTTGAATGTGAAAAGGTTTTGCTTTCTCCCCCCCAAGACATGGAAAATCTTCCCAGCTCTGGGAGTCCCACACTTAAAGGGAGCTCAGCTATCAGCTGACAGCAGCAACAATGCAGCTTTTACGGCCTGGCTGACACAAAAAGCCAGAGCCCCCCAGTTAAGGCTGTTTCAACGACCCTTCCCCCACCAAAACCAGTATAAAAGTGCTTTAATACCAGTATGACCACAGAGGAAATTAAAAAGCAATGAGGTGGGAGCAGCCAGAGTTTTGGGGGGGGGTACCCCCCCAAAAAAACCCTCTCTGGGATGACCCGGCTTAAACAAAGCACTGTGAGCATCTCGGTTCCCAGCGAGGAGGGAACAGCAGCGCGGGGTGAAGATCCGGCCGGTGAGGTGCCAGAAACTCACCTGGGAAGCTGGCAGAAGCCACCCCGCTGCGGCTAAATGCAGCTCAGCTGCCTGGATAACCCCCCCGGCTCTCCCTCGGCCAAACCGACACGCAGTTTGGGTCTTGGAGGTCTCGGCACACTGTGAGCATCTCGGTTCCCAGCGAGGAGGGAACAGCAGCGCGGGGTGAAGATCCGGCCGGTGAGGTGCCAGAAACTCACCTGGGAAGCTGGCAGAAGCCACCCCGCTGCGGCTAAATGCAGCTCAGCTGCCTGGATAACCCCCCCGGCTCTCCCTCGGCCAAACCGACACGCAGTTTGGGTCTTGGAGGTCTCGGCAGGGGGTTTCCCACTCACCTTTTTCACCATGGTGGTCTCTGATGAGTCAAGTTTGGCTTTTTTGGTGTCGGGCCCATCTTCCACGCCCGGGCTGACTTTGGTGACCTTGGTTTTCTCTCTATGGAGGAAAAAAATTGAGCTCGCTTTGAGAAACCACAATCCTCATTTGTGCTGCTCGGTGTCAAAGTCTTTTTATGACTCTTAAAGATTTAAAATCTCCAAGGTCCTGAAAGCAGGCAGCCTCCCCGAGCGGGTGAAGGCAGCTGAAACACCGATGCCCTTCTTGCGGGGCTGGTTCTCCTCTCGCCACCTGCTCCCTGAGACCCCCCCGACTCACTCCACGAATTCGTGTTCCCCGAGGTCGGCAAACATATAGCCATGGTAGCCGAAAACGTCGCCAGTGAAGAACTTGACACTGTTCTTGTGGCAAATCTGGTCGATCTTCACCATAATATCCCGGGAGCAGCAGGTCAGGCAGACCTGCAGGCAGAGAGGCATTGTTCTCAGCGGAAATTGAACGTTTACCCCCCGCTTCCCGCCTCACGGGGTTATTAGGGGGCTGTGAAATCTTCCCTGCCTTCCTGGGGCAGCGGGGAAGGTTCCAGGTAGATTTGCCGTTTCATTCACAGCGGGGCGCAATGCTCGGGGCAATCATCAATTTTCCCCTCCCGTCACATGGGCCAATTCCAGCAGCCTTCGCTCTGGGGATAATTAGGAGGTTAGGGGATATGGCATCCCGTTTCCGGATAATTTCTGTGAGAATTGGGGGACAGAGCTAAATACGAATATATTTAAAGCTCAGGGCCTGTCTATCCTGGGAGTGGAGCAGGATACATACCCCGGGGTAGCTCCCCGCAGGGCCATGTTGTTATAAGCAGCGCTTTACGTTCCCCTCACCAGCTCCTGCCGCCTTGCGGTCAGGCAGGAGCAGGCAGCTGATCCAGGGGAGCTACAAGACCTGGATGCATTCCTCCTCCCCTAGCTTTCAGAGCCGCTGCCGGATTTTTCACCATCCGGCAGGAACACTGAATTGGGAAGCTGCGCTGGCTGCGGTTCCTACAACTACCAGCCCCATCACATCAAAAAAAAAACCAGGCAGGAGGCAGCCGCTGCCTGATGCAACCTATGGAGGAGACCAGAAGGGGAACAGATGCCGTCTGCAAACAGCCAGGCGGCTCAACCTGTAACCGCAGCATGAAAACTCGCACCGACAACAGGCAGGCAGCTGCCCGCAGCTCAAGGATAGACGCTCTCAGCGCTAACGCAATCAGAATAAAAGAGCAATTAGTGAGGAGACTTAAGTCAGCAAGCCCCTTCTCCTCCGACCTTTCTCTCCCCCTGCCGCACGTACTGCGTCGAACTGGGTGAAGAACTCTTCGGGCTTGCTCTCCACGGTCTCAGGATCCGCTTTCACGTCCACCATGGGATTGAGGTTCTGTGCCCGCTCCAGTGAGGCTTCAGCTCTGTTGCGGCCCAAGGAACCCACGGGGATGAGGAACTGAGCTCGTGTGTCCTCTTGGGAAACCTGAAATGGGAGAAAACAGAGACATGAGTCTTCCCATGGACTCAGGCACGGTGGGAAAAGCCCCCGGGGAGAATTGCAGCGAGCGCTTCACAAGCGGGAACTCGTGCCTGCAAGGGAACAGCTAAGCGGTGCCATCCTCGCTGCAGGAAAACTCATCGCGAGATAACCGGAGGGAAAAAATCTCTGGTTATTTTGCGCTATTCTTCAATCCCCCACAGCTTCGTAGCTTGCTTCTCCCTGCTCCCGAGCTCGCAGCTCCCTCTTGCGCCTGAGGAGACGCCACGCCATGACCTAGAGGCCACGCTTGCGTGAGAAACATGCTCAGCCGGTGCCGTTTGCCGCAGGACACAAAGCTCCCGATCGGGAATTAAAACCCACCACAGAGTCTGTTTAGGGGTTCCGGGGTCCACACGACTCGTGGCAGGAGCTTTGAGCCCCACGTCTGCTTCACGCACGCCTGACAGCCCCAAGTAAAACACAGGAAGGGGCCATCCAGACGGAGATAGACAGGAGAGGGCTGGGTGGAGAGCTGCTAACTCCAGAGCCATGCGTCCCCAGAAATAAGTTGGCTTCTCAGAGCAGGGTGCAGCACCCGAGGACATCCAGAAAGGGACAGGGGAGGCTGCGGTTCAGACCCCAGCTCAAGAGTGGGCGGAGGAGCGCAGCCTGACGTTTAGTTGCCACGCAAACGACTGGAAACGCAAACTCTACATGCCCCAAAATGGAATAATTCCACCCCAAGCAGAATATTTATCCCAAAAAGCAGCGAGCAAGTCCTCCAGCACTGGCACCGTACTGCACCGGGGGAGTCTGGGAGCAAGCTCCTCACCTGCTGATGGTCCAGCATGGTCAAGCCTTTCACTCCTGCCAAGATAAGATTCTTTGCCACTTCTGCTCCGAGACCCTTCATCCCCACCAGCAGCACCCGGGAAGCTCGTAACCTGCGGCAGAAACACTTGGTCAGCATTAAGGGCTCGGCTAGAGCGTCCCCCGAGGGGTTGGGGTGAAGGGGAATTGGCACTCGGAGGGAAAACACGGCAGATAAATACAGCTGGACAGGAAAGCTGTGCTCCTTGGCATCCCTGCCTGGGAAAATGCAGGTTTAACACCATTTGGAAGCAAAGAGAGAAACACGCAGGCTGTCAGGAGTGGATAATTCAGGAAAATTCACAGAAAAAAGAGTGTTTGCAGCTTTGGAAGAGGGAATAACACCAAAGTCTTGCGCTGCTTTTCAGCGGGGACGGGATGATGTGGGTCACTACAACACACACTTCAGGGTTCCTAACAGCCCCCCCAAAAAAGGGCTGGAGCTCCTCCCTAAGCTGCACTGGGCTGCAGACAAAATATAATCAATGGAAAATTAATACATTTCTGTGTATATTTATTCCAGCACAAAACTGCGTGCAAGTTTTAAGTCTTCCAAATAACTCACCAACGTGTTTTCCTCGCCTTTTATCATTTAGGTATTTCCCTCCCCACCCCTCGGAAGTCTGTTATTGATTAGTCTGTATCAGTTTTCTGACAAAATCAAATTTACTCAGCAGTGAGCCACAATCCGGGCTGTTAAACAGAGAGACTCCTGCTTTTCTGGCCTATTTTCATGCTCGTTTTTATCTGCATCCAGCAACATCACTATGTTCGTCTTCATATTTTGGGGCTGCTCTACCTTCTCCTGAACAAACCCCATTGCTGCTTGCCGGGGAACACCTAAGAAATCCAAAATGGGCAGAAATCTGGACAGACTGCAGAAAAGGACCAAAAAAAAAACTTGAAAGCTGAAAACCAAAGTCCTTATGGAGAAACCAGGGGCTGAACAAGAGGGTTTCTAGCAGGGAAAGACCCAGGAACTGGCAGGTGGGAGCAGATGCTTTGCAATTCCAGCTGGGCAGGAATCAGAAGCCATTTATTCCCCGCCTCCCCCCTGCCCCAGCTTCAACTCCAGGAGGCACAAATTTCACCCAAAAGCACACTACAGTGAGTTTGGCTAAGCCTGAGTTTTGCATGGGGTCAGGCAGAGACCCCACAGACCCCCACAAGCCCCTATATACTGTATATGCTTACATACCCACCACTGACCCCTCTCTGAAACCCCTACAAAGCTCCTGAGGACCCCC